ATGTCGAGCTTGTAACAATAGGAGAGGCCTTCTTGGTGCTATATAGAACCATATACAATACGTTCTCCATCAATCTGAAGAACCATTTCCCCATGCAAACCATTTAAGCATGATGTAGAATGTGTTGTATATGGTTCTGTATAGCACCAAGAAAGGCTCTCCTATTGTTACAAGCTTGACATTATGACAATAGCAGACCCCTTTTGGTGATATAGAACCAACACATTTCACCATGCAAAGAGCCATTTAAGCATGAAATTGTTCTATGTGGAACTCATGGTTCTCAATATAGCCATTCCCTTTACTAAAGAACCCTTGAAGAACCATCTTTTTAAAGAGTGCATGTTTCTAACTGATGCAGTGAGCTGTGCTGATTTGTGCTCTGGAGTGCACTGTGTGAAGGGTGACTATGCGTAATGTGCGCTTGCTTAGACTTGCATGTGTGGCTGCCTGCGTCGCCTTGAGACTGAAAAGGGTTAGTGGGTCAAACAGGCGATCAGACTGCAGACTGCATGCGCTGTGTGGCAGAGAGAAGGAGGGAGGGTGAGGTGTGTGGAAGTGACCTGTGAGAATACCATTTCTCATCACATCGATTTGACTCACTGCCCAGTGCTTTCCTGTTTTAAAGGGCTCAAATCATGGAAAACAGTATTTTCCTCACTTTGTTGAAATAAAAGGTTCGATCTAGTATGTTAAGTTTCATAGTCATACAGTTCATAGTCCATACAGTACATGCACAGTTCATAGTCCATACAGTACATGCATAAACCAGCTTGTTTTGAGTTGTGATAAACTCATTTACATGTATCTGCATGTTGAGCCTACAGCAGTTTAGTCCTGCTCATTCACACTGCAGCGTCACAGGAGCGTTTCAGCCTGGGCTGCTTTTTGAATGAGGAACAATACAGGTGCAGCCAATCAGAATAGGGGTCATTTACATACACCTGTCTTCAAGACACAGAAGTGTGTCCTCTGCAGAAGACTTGTTATCATGTGTTCACTTATTTTCACTTGGAAAATCAACAAAACATGTCATTTGACCAGGGGTGACCCAAATTTTTGCATACAACTGTAAGCCCAGTTGCTACTTCTCTGCTTTCTGCAGAACTGGGTAGACGTCATCTTTTTAACCACCGGTGAGTCTAGATGCAGTGTGCCGCTTCTTCCGCCGATTCTCAATGATAAACCTTTCAGTAGGTCTAATTAGCCGTGTGGTAATACTTTCTTCTGCTAGTGAAGCTTTGACTCTTATCTCAGAGAATAATCCCTAGCCCAGAGTGGCTGATTAAGCTGGTCTGTATTGCTGTATCAGTCAGTTTTTTCCCCCCATTGCTTTGGGACTCTTCTGTCTCACTTTGTCTATCTTGTTAGTCATCCACCGCATTGCACAGTCCTTTTGCCATCCCTAAGGAAATGGTGCCTTGTTTTAATACAATCAATAAAGAGTCAGGCCTAAAGAAAGTGGGCGAGATCAAGGCAGGACGGAGGGAGGCGGGGGGAGTCTGGAGAGGAGACAATATGACGTGTAATGCAAAGTACCCTACCTATTTTACTGCTTGTTTCAAAATGTAGTGTAAAGTCCCAGAATGCATCACCTGACAACAATCTGTGAAGCCTACAGATGCACCTTTTCTGAAGCTACTGAGCATGTGGTGTTAAGTAAAGCACCTTAACACAGTGGAGAAACAAGGGGTAAGATTCTGCCACCTCTGGGCACATGGTGCAACTAAGATTTGAACCCCTTGAAAATCTATAGGCTCACCGCTACAATGGAAATCCTTAACCAGAAGATCCCCTCAAGATCTTCACGTGTATATCTGTTACCTTTTTTAGATTTTATGGACCTCTCAGTGGGTCCAGACCTCTGTTTCTCACTCTCATAACTATATACCTCATATATTAGCTTATTAGTTACTTAATAATTTATAATAATTACTGGATAATAGGTCTTAAAGGAATACTCTAGGTTTTTCCAACCCAGTCTCTATTTATATAAATAGCGAATGGTCAGTTACCACAGACAAAAATTCTGTCATGTTTCCCTGTACTAAACCTGCTGACTCAAAACAGAAACCAGTGAGAAGGTGATGAGGCCAATGACTGCTTGTTAGCCTCTGTTATAAGTGTGTTTTGGGTCAGCTGTGCAAGAAAATGATGAAAATGTTTGTCCATGGTCACTGATGGTGTAAAGTACAGATAGCAGACTCTTAGATTTAGAACTGAATAATAAGCCTGGAGTTTAAGGAAAGGCAGTGTGAAGTTTTTTTTCAAAGGGAGCCAGAATTCCATTTAATACCTATTATTTATATATGAAAAAACAAACAAATTTAAAGGAGGTACAATTTTTCTAAAAAAATGCATAATTCAATCAATGAAATGTAACAAAGTCATTCAGATTGATTTGATGTGAAATGGTTCATTGCAGAGAAATTTAGCAATTCAGATTTCTTTACAGCGGTGGTGTTAGGAACCAGAGGTCATGATGTCCACAAATATATCC